ATGTTCCATGCATCAAGATGCTAAAAATACAATACAATGAATTAATTATAATTAAATGAGTTAAAAATGTAAGTTTTTCAGCTTAATTAGTAAATAGTGTAATTCTCATACCTCATTTCCCAAATACCTTGAATCAAGTCTACCCAATAGTTGTCTCCAAAAGTCCTTTTCAGGCCGCAAATAATCTAGCGTCGATAAACGCAGAATGGGTAACTGATCAACATCATACAACTGACCAATGTCTACAATGGACGTTGTGGGCATAGATGAGGGCATTTGGTTAACAACTTTCTTGTCCCCTTTTTTTTTTGCCTTTTAGGGCCGTAAATGAAGATTTGATCCACCACGATTTCTTGCTCACTCGCTTCTCAGGAGCATCGGGCAGACAAACCTCTTCTTTCGACTCTACAAATGGGAAGTAGCATGATGTAGATGCTGCAACATCCATCGCAGGTTGTTGTTGCGATATAAACTGTGTACGCACAATCCAAGATAAATTAAAAAGTTTATCTAATTTAATTATTAACTTGATAAATAAAAACATTAAAAAGCTTTAACATATTTACCGTATCCTCAACGTTGTACAATGGCGGTATATACTGTGTAGGCACAATCCAATATAAAATAATTTTTTTCATATAATTGTTAACTTTTAAATTAAAATCAATGAAACCTTAAACATATTTACCGCATCCATCGGTGCATACTAATGCGTCAAAGGTGTGTCAACATGCGTCATCAGTGACTGATACTGCGGCATCCAATATAAATTTAATATTTATATAATTGTTAACTTGCAAATTAAAACATCAACAAAAATAAACACTCTTACATTGTCGTCATGCGGATGCATGTATTGTGAAGGATCAGCCATAGGTCCTTGTCCAGGCGCATCGTTTATAAATCTCGCTTCGAGTGACCCACATTTTTCATTTATAAGGTCTTTAACCGAAGCGATCTTTTCATCGAACTCAATATGTACCTGGCGCCATTCATCACGCCATTGGACGTCGGTATATGTCGCAGATGAATGACGATGTTGTGGCTCATATTGTGGTCTATGAGAAGTGTGCGCTGCAAATGATTGACGTGCAGCCGATGGTTGGACGTTGTCATCATCGTCATCATTTTCTTCATGACCCATCCCTTGATCGGGGTCCGGCTGTCCATAATAGTTATTTGACAAGAATTCTCTGCTTTCAATCCACCACTGGGCCGACTCCTTCAAATTTGTTGGCACCAACGAGGTCAGGAGACGAGATGATTTCTATAAATATATAAATCAATAAAAAAAATTAAACATACATAACAAAAAGAATTGGCAAATCTTAAACTTATAATAAATGAAACCAAACCTTGTCAATAGTGGATAATACACAACACTCTTCCCATTTCATCATTTTATTTCGTTTCTATCCAATAGCCCTCGGGAAGGAAGAACTATAATGAAAAAAATTGTTGGTTCGGGGAAATGTCTCCAAGATCCATATCTGGTAGGTTACGAAAAAAATATCGTGAGAAAATGCAAATTAATCAGTAAATAAGATATTAAAAAAAATTATAACCGACCTTGAAGGCATATATGAACCCATATAATATATACTTATTTGGCGGCTAATTTTTGTGTCTGCGCCGCTCGAAAGCATTTTTCATCTGTCGATATGTCAGACCCCATATATATGAGCCCCATGGATATCGGTTTAGGAATGGCAACGGGCTGGGTTCGGGCCGGGTATTGGTATCCCCGTCCCCGAAACCGATAGCTAAAATCGTCCCCGTAACCGTCCCGATCCCCGTCGGGGATCTTATCGGGGATCCCCATCGGGTCCCTGCGGTTTCCCCGATCCCCGTTGGGGAACCCGTTAAGGGTAAAAATTCTCTTTTTCATCGTTGGTTATAACCGAAACCGATATGAAAAAAATTACAATATGTTAATTTTCACAATTAAAAGTAAATTACATTTTTTTAAAGATCTAAGTTTAAATGTCTCAAACATAATTGAACCAATTACAAACAATGCATTAGATTACAATATAAAATTAAACAAAAATTCGAACATCATACAACTAAAATCACGGTTTTTGATAAATAAACTAGACTTTTCGTGAGCTTTATTTGGGTTGTTGAGGTAAAGTGAATAATTTTTTTTAAAATTTTAATGTTACTTTTTTTTAAAGATATTATATATATATATATATATATGTATATAAATTAAAATAAATAAATAAATATATATATATACATATCGGGTCGGGCCGGGCCGGTGATCACCGTCCCCGTCCCCGTTAAAATCCCTTAATTCGTCCCCGATCCCCGTCCCGTCCCCGATAAAATGTCCCCGAACCCGGCCCGAAAGTTTCGGTTTTTGGTTTTCACCGTCGGTTTCGGTTTTTTTTGCCATCCCTATATCGGTTCCAGGAATCTAGATTATCAACCAGATGCAAAATCCAATCTTCGATATTATGGTTCTTCTTTCGTCCCAGAAAAAACGAATGGAGCATGACTACGAGCCAGACACGCACCCATCATCGTCTGATATATTACTTAAGTCGAACAATTTATTTTTAAAATCCTCAACTTTAGTATTATAAAGATTGTTATAGGAAACAATCTTGTAATAATATTCGGTATGGTACAATGTGATGGATGAAGATCTGACCCAAATCTTAAACCCGTGATCAAACAGAACTCATGTCTGCCGAACCGTGAATGGAACCCTCCACCCTGATAATATATTTCTTCAGATTAAGAAGGGAAAGAGGGGTTCTCACATTGCACCATCCAGTTAATTAATGATGAGTTTGAATAATGGTGAGATAAATTTAACCATGGGCCGAAACATGTATTTCACAACATGTTTAACCTCATTTCATTATTTGATAATGCTACGTTTATATCTCTAATTGTTGAGGTCTGAGCCCTCAAAGTCTGTTGGACCGGTAACTGCACTAGGGAGCCGCCCACGTGATATTGTCCGCTCTGGGTTTGACCAACCCCTCACGGCTTTAAAACGCGTCACTGGTAGGAGTAAGACTCCCACTTCCTTATAAGGAAGCCGAATCTCCCTAGCCTTACCGATGTGGGATGCTTCTGCATTGCTACAAGAGCGTTGGGTTTAAGAGTCGCGGATTTGACCGGCTCTAGGGAACACGATGAGGCGGAAGTCCCAACATTCCCCCCCCCCACATTGGTGCGGCCCTAACTCTGATACCAATTGTTGGACCGGTAATTGCACTAGGGAGCCGCCCACGTGATATTGTCCGCTCTGGGTTTGACCAACCCCTCACGGCTTTAAAACGCTGGTAGGAGTAAGACTCCCACTTCATTATAAGGAAGCCGAATCTCCCTAGCCTCACCGATGTGGGATGCTCCTGCATTGCTACAGGAGCGTTGGGTTTAAGA